TTTTTTTTTTTTTTTTTTTTTAATAAATAGATTGTTTTTTATCCTTTTTTTTTTGTTTTTTTAACTTTTTTTCAACCTTTAATTAAACTCTCCTTTCGCTTCGTCCTTCCTCACTTTCCTAATTAGGTATTTTGAGGACTCGTGTGCATGGGCATGCGATCATACACTCAATTTCCTCTCGACTTTCTTCTTTCTTGCTTCCTTTTTTCGGCACTTTCCTTTTTTTTTATAAATAAAAAATAAAAGAAACTTCTGAGACAACAATACACGCAAAGGTTGGCATCAGCGGTCACAACCTAAGCCACGTGAAAAGAAAAGAAGAAGGAAAAAATGACTGATGGAAAGAGAAAAAAAAAAAAAAAACCACTTTGTCCAGACTGCAAGGGTATTAAAAACAAAACAAAACAATCTGACCTCTAAATTAACGGGAGAATTCTCAGAAGCACACACACAAAAAAAAGAAGCAAAAAAAAAAAAAAAAAAAAAAAAAAAGAGTAAAAAAGGAAAAAAAAAAGAAAAAAAGAAAAAAAAGGGAGAAGTAATCCTTGCAGCAACCCTTGTGACGGCTTGCTGAATTACTGGGAACAAGTCGCACATACGTGGGCAGCGGCAGTCGCACACAGAGACAAATCATACGTATGTGCGACGGAGCAGTCGCACACACACAGTCCGTCTCGTGCGCGGAGTTGAGATTCTGTCGCAAGACAGAAGCATATACGTATGTGGAGAGAGAGAGAGAGAGAGAGAGAGAGAGAGAGAGAGAGAGAGAGAGAGAGACAGACAGACAGACAGACACACAGAGAGAGAGAGAGAGAGAGAGAGAGAGAGAGAGAGAGAGAGAGAGAGAGAGAGAGAGAGAGAGAGAGAGAGAGAGAAGGATCAAGGCCTTGTAATTCCAGATAAACACGATGAAAGAAAGATTGCGAGTAGTGCGAGTCGAATTATCGTGAGTGAATCCGGTCTCGATTGCGGCCATATGCACAGTTACAATAGCGTCTGGGAGCGTGCCCTTACAGCTGAGAAAATGATTTGAATTGTGACGGTGCCGTGGTAGCGGTGGACCGTTGGATTATGGCAAAGGGTTTACCCGACCACACACACACACACACACACACACACACACACACACAGAGAGAGAGAGAGAGAGAGAGAGAGAGAGAGAGAGAGAGAGAGAGAGAGAGAGAGAGAGATCTATGTGCACGCGCGAGAAGGCCTTGATGAAGAGGAAGGAAAAGGCGGGAAAGTGATGAAAAAGGAAATGGAAAGGGAAGGAAAAATGATGAAAAAGGAAAGGAAATGGCGGGAAAGGCCATGATTAAAAAAAGAAAGGAAAAGGCGGGAAAGTGATGAAAAAGGAAAAGGAAAAGGCGGGAAAGAGATGAACAATGAAAAGCAAACGGCGAGAAAGGCCTTGATGAAAAAGGAAAGCAAATGCCGGGAAAGTGATGAAAAAAAGGGAAAGGAAATGGGGGGAAAGGCCTTGATGAAAAAGGAAAGGAAATGGCGGGAAAGGCCTTGATGAAAAAGAAGGAAAGGAAATGGCGGGAAAGCCCTTGATGAAAAAAAAGGAAAGGAAATGGCGGGAAAGGCCTTGATGAAAAAGGAAAGGAAATGGCGGGAAAAGGAATTATGCTTGTCCTGAATGTAGACCCAGGCATTACGACGAAGTCATATCACGAGTTTATTATTTTATTGAAAAAATAAAGCAAGAACAGGAAAAAAGAAAGTTTATTATTTTATTTATTATTTTATTTATTATTTTATTGAAAAATAAAGCAAGAACAGGAAAAAGGAAATACAAAATAATCTTCAATGATCCGATTTCTCAACACGAGTTTATCACTGAAAATAAAAGCAACAACAAATAAAATAATTTCAATAAATATATGATAGATGAAAAAGTTATTCTTGCAAAAAAAAAAAAAAAAAAAAAAAAATCAGTGAAACCCAGTTTTCAACACTCGCATGCTGTTCACAGCTGCAACAAAGAAAGCAATAGTAAAAAATTAAATTTATTATTAACTTAAAAAATAGGAGGGAGGAGAGGAGGAGGAGGAGGAGGAGAAGGAGGAGAAGAAGGAGGAGGAGAGAAGGAGGAGGAGGAGAAGGAGGAGAAGGAGGAGGAGAGAAGAAGATGGAGGAGGAGGAGGAGGAGGAGGTGGAGAAGAGAAGAAAATTAAATGTATTATTAACTGAAAAATAGTCAAAAAAAGGGAAAAAAAAAAAGAAACAAACAGAGAAAAATATGCATATCTTCAATGAACCCATTTCTCAATCCTTACCATCTAAAACCCAACACTCACATGCACTCCACACATGGAACACACAGAGAGCAAGAAGATGAAAGAGGAGGAGAGAAGATGAAGGAGGAGGAGGAGGAGAGAGAGAAGGAGAGAAGATGGAGGAGGAGGAGGAGAGAGAGAAAGAAGGAGAGAAGATGGAGGAGGAGGAGAGAAGAAAGAGGAAGAGAAGATGAACAAGGAGGAGGAGAGAAGAAAGAAGAGGAGAGAAGATGGAAGAGGAGGAGAGAAAGAAGAGGAGAGAAGATGGAGGAGGAGGAGGAGAGATGAAAGAGGAAGAGAAGTCTACCATGCTTCAGCCATGGATCGTAGGAGAAGAACATTATGAAACTGCTCAAGGAGTAGAAGAAACTTTGTAGCGTTATAAAGAATTGCAAGACATTATTGCTGTTCTTGGTTTAGACGAATCATCTGAAGAAGATCGCCTAGGAGGAGGAGGAGAGAAGATGAAGGAGGAGGAAGAGAG